TTGCTTTATCATTTCATAAGAAAAAAATTATAGTAAATATATTAATTCAGGAAAATTTTGCTTATTAGGCAAATCGGGCCTTGAATAGTAGGCTGAGAAGTGAGTTCTGGCTACTAGGTACGACATATATATATATATATATATATATATATATATATATATATATATATATATATATATATATATATATATATATATATATATATATATATATATATATATATATATATATGTGTGTGTGTGTGTGTGTGTGGATTCTGAATAATAAGGTACTATCTACAATGAAAACTGATTATATCTCAGCTCTGACAGAGGGACGAAGATGCAGTCCACTGTACATCAGTCTGGAAACAGTTTGAGATAGTGATACTTGGAGCACGTGAGGTTATGACGGTCACACGCTTCCTCAAGGGTGTTGCACCATGCTGCAATAATGATAATTCCGTAATTTCCACCCCAAACTAGTATTCACACACATATAAGGGAATATCTAAATATTTGGAGGGGAAAGAGCTGCACTTATATGGAATTTTTGGTACGCCCGCAGTGTAACGACATGGCTACCTATATTAATCATATTAAAGAACTCTATAAATATTAATAAAAGGTGAAATGCCTGCCGAACTGGTGTCCGTGATTCTGGTAAGCTGCGTCCTCAATCTGGCATCTAAGGATGTTCAGATGCCGTCTGGATGAGAAGATTTGTTGGACCGCTTACGGAACACCTTCACACTTCTTGTTGGTAATGGCGAGAGTCCTCTCTCCTCCCTCCCGAAAGTCGCGCATGCTCAATAGCTCGTCGTGAGGATTCGAGCATAAATTATATTTATTTATTAAAGCTAAATAGGGAAGGGGGCGTTTATGAACACTCTTGATGGTTTAGATAAATTCTTTATGCGGTGATGTTTAATTCTCACAGTGCACGTCAGTTAATGTAGACTGCACAAATAAAACAATACTTGCTTGGCGGTGGAAATGATGTTAGATTATGACCTTATTTACTGGAACAGCGATTAAGCTGGGTAAGGAAATTCCCGTAAACTGTTGTATACTAAAAGTAAACTTATTACTAAATAATTATTCCTAACAAAGGAAAGTAAATGGTTGCATTAGTATGAGATCTACAGGTCTGTGGAAATTTCATCTCCCGTGCATGGCTGACGCAACGCTACACAATTCTAGGAGAAATTACATGATGTTCCACAACCTAATACAGTAAATTCAACAATACTAAACTACGCATTAGTAGTGTTAGTTAATTATTACGCTTAATACAGGAAATACATTCTGGTGTATTAAGGATTATTAAATGAATATTAGATGTGTATGAAGCCTAATAGAGGAAATACATCCTGTTGTATTAGGGTTGAGAATAACTGTTGGAAATTTCCAACAGAGCCCAGTAGGCTCAGGAATCTCTACACCACATGATTGACAGCTGAGAGGCGGGACCAAAGAGCCAAAGCTCAACCCCCCGCAAGCACAAATAGGTGAGTACACACACACACACACACACACACACACACACACATACACACACACACACACACACACACACACACACACACACACACACACACACACACACACACACACACACACACACAAATACCAGAGGGGGCCTCGCGGGTGAGTAAATAGCAGTTTGGTGTGTATGTGTATTTTCACTTGAAGGTTGAACCTTGCTCTTTCAACACGCCTTTCAACTGTGTGAGTGTGAGTGCAGGGAGAGTGGAATCGGGGAAGGTGTGTGTGCACAGTGAGTGAATATGACATGTGTTTATGTGTGTGTACTGGGAGGGTGGAGATGAGGAAGGTATGTATGTGACAAACACATACACACACAACCACCCACATTGAGATGCTACTTAAGTTTATGTTAAGTAATTAGAAAGTAATGCAACGAAGTGTTGGGCACAAGGAGGACGGTCATTAGGGTTTTCAAATCGGAGATTTGGAAAATCTCTTTTTAATGATTATAAAACAGTAAAGGTCTGGGCAGTGCTATGCCAACCAGTGTGGAGTCCATATCTAGTCAAACACAAAATATGGGTGTTGGATGTCCTGATGTATGATACAAGGCTTAGTCTCGGATATGACAGGTATGAGTTACTAGCAAAAACAATAGGAATTATTCCTCATCATTGTAAAACAGAAAAATATTGAGACATGAATAACACTTTAAAAATTTAAGAGAATATATTACACAGAAATGGACAGGTTATTTGACAATAATGTGGTATATGGTCTTGGAGACACACGTGAAAGTACACAAAAGACCATTAGTGACATTTTCAATACAAAACAATATAAAATCTTGTATTCATAAATGATTGTACTCAACATTTAGTAAGTGTTAATTTACACAGAACTTCAGATTTTTTTTTAAATAAGTGTAAGTTTAACAATATCATAACCCGTAATTTTTATCGTTATGGTCTGTGTAACATAACATTAGATAGATTTAAAAGTTTTGTTTGTCAGTAGTTGATGTAAATCATTGTGGTTGTTGCTGAGTGAACAGGTGTACAGCTTAGAATGTCACTTTGGGTTACTACTTACTGAAGAAGTGGAAGAAGACATCATAAAATTTTAAAATATAAAGTTATTTGAGACAGCTTGGCTCAGAAATCTGTTAAACAGTTCATAAAAGGCTGAATGGTATAACTTTAGAGCCGAAGCTCGACTTTTACAAGTAGAATGTAGTGAGTACAACTTCACCTGACCACTAGTATCTGTATTAACCAGAATAAATGTGGTGTATATGAATATGAAATGTACTGTATATTAATATAAAGTGTACTGTACATGAATTTGATATGTACTGTATATTAATATGAAGCGTTTTGTATATGAATATGAAATGTACTGTTTATGAATATGAAATGTACTGTTTATGAATATGAAATGTACTGTATATTAATATTAAATGTACTCTATAAGCGCAGGATTCTTGTTTTCTATTGTAATCTGTATTGTCAGGTACCGTAAATCTTTTCAAGTACCATTTCCTCTGGGTACCCCTGGGAAGCACTGCATACTTTACAACTTTGGTGACTTTTGTTTCCCCTCAATGCTAGGACATTTAGGCTTTTTTCTTTTCCTCTTTTCCTCAACTCATCAGCATAATAATTAATTAAATCTCACTAATGGAGACCTAATGAGTAGCGGACGAGTAGGATAAAACTTTGGTTTGGGTTCGGAGATGAATAGATGGGTTAGAAATGCATTGTTGCTGAGGCATAAGTGAGAAGGGTGCAGAGACTCTTAACATCTAATGTTAGTTCGTAGGAGATAGGATGTAGGGACTGGGGAATGCTTGAGTGGGGAGGCGTGATGAAGCTGTAGTTAATGGGTAGAGGTCAGAGTATTCGTGAAACAGGTTTTCCCTGTTCCATGCATGATCAACTGGAAATGATCGTGTAGTGCAAGAGCAGGTGGGACTATAGGAAAGATGGCATGATAGTGTTGCTATGAGGGGATGAAAGAAGTTCTGGTTGTGGTACTTTTAGTTCATCACGAGTGAGTCAGTATTACGCTCCTTTATGGAAACCAGAGAAGATAGTTCGGTCCCCCTTATTACCCTCAAATTTTACCATAAGTTATTATAAATAATAATGCATTGTGAGTTCCATTATGGGCCAAAAATCTCAAATCACACACAGTCTCGTCTCTCCAAAGAATGTAAACTAACCCTCTTAATCTCTCTTCTTAAGGACAAAGATACAGTCCAGTTCAGCCACTTGAACTAGAAGGGTTTCTAATTAATGGGAATATATGTCATTATTCTCTGAATTCGCTTACAAGTTCAAGTACATTCCAACTAAACTGCATAAACTAAATCTGGCCTAAGAAGGGCAAGATAAAGATATATTTAGTATCATTTTCTCTAACACTTCAAGAAATAAATCCAAGTCACGGGCTCACCATAGTCCGTGCGACTCTGAACTTTGTTCCAGGTAGCAAATCTTTAACAACAACAACAACAAATCCAAGTATTTAATTTTCCGTATTCTGTACAAGAATGCATTTAATTTCTGATTTAAGGTCCCTAATATTTATGAATCCCTTTTGCCTTGAGATTTCGAAACTTCCAGCTGTTGAGATATTAATAATGTTGTTCAAAATGTAAACAAACGGCTTTTGTGAATTCTGATTCAAGGAGTTTTCTTACAAATGATGGGTAGTCAATGGGACAATTGTTCGAGATAAATGACGTGTGTGTCTCTTCTGAAAAAACGGCTCCACATTTAATTAACTCTGTTGACATATCAACTATGCAACAAAAGGGCTCACTAAGTGCTTCTTTACATTCTTTAAGCTCCCTGGCAAATATTTCCTCTGATCCTAGCAATTTCTCGTACTATCTAATGACAGTAGCATTTCACATTTATTTAATAATAATAATAATAATAATAATAATAACCAACATACACATTCAAAAAGTCAATAGTGTGATATTTATAAACAAAATCCAATCCATATAATAATATTTTTACATAATCTGTAACTGCCTCTCGCAGATGTTAGCACTGCCTTTCTCTTATGTAAACTCTGCCTCCCTCTTATGTTAACGCTGCCTTCCTCTTATTTTAGCACTGTCTTTCTCTAATATAAACACTGCCTACCTTTTATGTTAGCACTGCCTTTCTCTAATGTTAGCACTACCTTTCTCTAATGTTAGCACTATCTTTTTCTAATGTTAGAACTGCCTTTCCGCTTATATTAGTATTGCCTTTCTCTAATGTTAGCACTGCCTTTCTCTAATGTTAGCACTGACTCCCTCTTATTTTAGCAATGCCTTTCTCTTATGTAAACACTCCCTCCCTCCTATGTTAACACTGCCCCTCTTATTTTCCCTCTACCTTTCTCTTATGTTAGCATTACCCCCCAATAACCTTTCCTATCTCCCAATTTTCGTTAATTATCTGTACATAACTATTCTCCCATGAGCTAAAAACACACAGTGAAAAGGTAATGTTTTTGATCGCCAGGTCGTGCTTCATGCTTCAAGCATCCTCGGTGTTACTTGTGATCTCTACCTGGTGTTGCTACCACTATTCCGCCCACGCTTCCCCAGTGCCACCTGTCGCAGCCGCCCTTAGCCCGCCATCTCACGACTTCAGTTTCATCAACAACAGAGAGGAATCTGAAGGTTTGCCAGAGAAAGGAGTGCTCAAATACTTCAATCCAGGCAGGCAGGGCTGGGTGGACGGTGCTGAAGATTATCACCCATTTGCTGAGGATGTCTCCAGGAGAGGCTTCAGTGATAAGAACTTTATGAGGTGAGATGGGCAGTAAGAATATGTGTCGAGAGACAAAACTAGAGAATATGGTGAGGGAATGGGATAACTATTGGTTGGATTGGAAGTATATACAGAAGAGGCCGAGGACTGGAAATATTAAGCAGCACTGATCAAAGCTTGGGCCGTAGAGTTAACTAAACACTTGCTACTCAGTACAGGGAATAAGTCATTGAGAAACAGCAAAAGGTGAGTATGAAATACAATATTGAATAATATGAAACACTAATACAAATTTATTAAAAATTACTAATATGGCTCACGGGAACATTAAATAATAATTTAATTGGAAAGAAATTGTCATAGTTAGCTATTTAAATAAAAAGTATTTAAATACTTGGGATGCGTGCTGGGATTGATGATCAGATCTTTGAGGGTAACTTTGAGGAAGTCCTTGAGTCGTTTCTTCTGCCCCCCCCCCTAACTGAACATGTGTCCTGACCTTGAGAAGCTCACCTTCGGGGTCTAAGATGACCATGACTTCAATATATCAGGTCGAAGGTCGGTGGCTGTATGTCAGCTGGTGATGGATGAGACCAATCTGGGTCCGGAAGGGTCGCCCACACATAGGACATATGTGGGTGGGTGCTATTGCTGAAGTGGAGGTGGCTCTAGCTTTGCTGCGGCGCATTTCCCCATTGTCTCTGCCAGCACAGGCACCTGTGTTGGCTATGCTTTTGCAAGTTGGATGGCCTGAGATAACAACTCTCAAGTATTTGGGGTGGTGTCTTTATCTCTGATCGTCAGCTTGAGGCAGTCCATGAATTGTTTATTTTTCCTGCTAAGTGAATGTTTGCCCTGGCATTGTTTTTCGTACAGCAGCTGTTTTGGTAATAGGCTGTCAGGCTTTTTGGCAACTTGGTCTGCCCATCTATACTTCTTTTTTTGTAGGAGTGTGTAGACGCTAGGAATACCGACCTCTTCCAGGACCTTCGTGTCCGGGTTTTTCTCCTGCCACCTAATGTGAAGGAGTCTGCGGAGACAGATCAAGTGAATGTGATTGAGCTCTTTGGCGAGTCTGTCGTTGATAGTCCAGGTCTCGCTGTCGTCGAGAAGGGTTGTGAGTACCATTGCACGGTAGACCTTCAGTTTGGTGGTAAGGCTGAGATGCGAAGGTCAACTCCACTTCCAGATATTGTCACGGAATCTTCCAAAAGCAGCGCTGACTTTAGCGATCTTGTTGTTGACTTCTGCATCTATATTCACCGCTTTTCAGAGTATGGCGCCAAGATAGGTAAAGTTGTTATTTGCCTGCCAGTTCTGCCACATGAATGTGATGTGAGGTTCCTTGTAGGGTATTCCAGGTGCAGGTTTGCACATGATATCCCTGTCTTTTTGGAGCAGATAACGAGACCAAAGTTGTCGCAGGCTTCTGAGAAGCAGTACATTTCATGCTGCATCATTTTCTCTGTGCTGGCGTTAAGGGTGCATTCATCAGTGAGCAAGAAGCCTCTTATGACAGTTTCCTGTACCTTTCTAATTGCCAGTAGGCACCTGAGGTTGAACAGCTCACCGTCAGTCCTGTATCTGATGGGTATTCCATCCTGGCAATCACAGAAGACGTGAGCATGGCCGAGACTACCATGCTGAAGTGAGTTGGGGGCGACAAAACAGCCCTGCTTCAAACCGTTCGTCAGTATGATGGCTTTTAAATCGTCTCCATCGTCCATTACTTTCGCCATTATGCCATCGTGGAACTGCCGGACAATCGCAGTGAATTTGTGGGGACAGCCAGACTTTTCCATTACCTTCCACAGGCAAGCTTTGTTCACCATATAAAAGGCCTTGGTCAGGTCGACGAAAGACACGAAGAGGTGGCTATGTTGCTCTTGAAATTTTTTCTTGAAGCTTGAGTGCAGCAAATCGTTTTTTGCCGAACAGTTTCGTGTTCTGTGCAGAAGCCACATTGGGTTTCTGGGAGGAAATCTTGCTCAAAGTGTTGAAGGAGGCAGTTGAGCAAGATAGGAGCCAGGATCTTAGCGGGGATGGACAGGAGTGAAGTGCCCCAGGGTTTGTCGCAAGACTGGCGGTTAATTTTTCTCTTGTAGATGTGAATTATGTTGGGATCTTTTAATTGTTGTGGGACCTTCACTTCATCTCATATGGACTGGTAGAGCTTTTTCAATTTCTGCATCGTGGCTGGGCCTCTTGTTTTGTATACTTAAGCAGGGATTGCATCTGATCCTGGCGGATTACCAAAGGAAAGCTGCTTGATGGCCTTCCTGACTTCTACTATGGGAGCTTTATCAAGGTTCTGGTTGACCTTCACTTGAGGTAGACGAGCAATGACCTCATTGTTGATTACGGCAAGGCAGTTAAGAACCTTATCAAAGTGCTCAACTCATTTGTCCAAGATCAACTTCTTCTTTGTCAGCATTTGAATCCCATCTGCACTGAGGACGGAAGCAGAGCCAGGTGTTGTTGTTGTTGTTTAAGATTCGCTACTTAGAACAAAAAGTTCCAAGTAGCACGGGCTATGGTGAGCCCGTAGTTGCAGAGTCAGAGGATTGTGGTCCATATATAGCATTCTGAGCGTCATAAAAACGCTTGGTGTCGTGAGTGTCCGTGTAACCTTGGATTTCATCGGCATTCTGGCTAAGCCATGCATCCTGCATCTCACTGAGTTACCTTTGCACAGTTCTTCGTGCATTGGCAAAGGCATCTGTCTTCTCTTGCTATGTTCGGTCGTTCTGGTGTGCACGGAACAGGTGATGATTTTTTACAACAATACCTGTTTGTCCTAATTGTTTTCATCGAACCAGTCCTGCTTTCTGTGGATTGTTGGTCCGAGGTTCTCAAAGCAAATATAGTAGACTGCATCTCTGAAGGCTGCCCATCTCACCTTCATGCTATTCTCGCTGTTGTTGGATTTGTCTAGGATCCTCCCTTCTTGGTTGTTGGTGAATCGTTCAGCAACTTGCTGCTCTACAACTTGGAGTCACTGACTTTCTTTACAGTATTCTGACCTTGTGGTCTTCTCATGGCAGGATGCGAAGTTTGCACTTGGACAAGTTGAAGCAATGGTCTGTCCAGCAGTCGGCACCAAACATGGCCTTAGTCACTCACGTCCTGGCGGTCTTTCTTCCTAGTGATGACATAGTCAATCAGATGTCATTACCTAAGGGAGGGTGCATTCATGGTGGCTTGTGTGTTGGTGACGATGAGGTCGGGCGTAGCACACACTGTGAGCAGCAGAAGGCCGCTGCTGTTGTAGTTGCCAGTGTCATGTCTTCCAATGATCCCTTCCCAGTCCTGGAAGTTTGTCCCTTCTCTGGCGTTGAAGTTAAGGATAATATGTTTATCTGAATTGTGGACTGCTGCAACGAGGATGTCGAGATCCTCATAGAACCTTTCCTATATGTCACATGAGTTGGTCATGGTTGGGGCATATGCGCTGGTCAGCGTTGCAGTCTTCTTGCTTCCAAATGGGAGCTAGAGTGTAATTAGGAGGTAGTTGATGCCCTCTGGGAGATTGCTAAGTTTTTCGGCGAGGTGGGATCTGATGGCAAATACAACACCAGCTTCTCATTGTTCAAGGATACTTAATTTATCCCTCCAGAAAAGGTGTACCCACAACCACGTTCTATAGGATGACCTTTGTCAGCCAAGCGTGTTTCACTGAGGGCTGCTATGTCCACATTGTAACCTGTTAGTTCCTTTGCAATCAACGCAGTTTGCCTTTCAGTTCTGTCTGTCATTGTTTTGTACAGGAGAGTTCGAACGTTCCCAATGCCGAGATTGAGCACCCTCATTTTTGTCTTTATATTTGATTTGATCAAGGGAAACATTGTGCCTGGACCATATTTAGAACCCCCTTGACAATTTTTGGCGCTGCTCAACAGTACACCTTCACAAATTTTTGTGAAATAAAACACAAAGAAACGTTCACGATTATTCATGGACTTTTTGGAAAATTACATAAAGTTCCAAGAATTTAAAAAATGCCATAATCCTCAGAAACACGTAAATTAAATTCTGAATTACCCCTTTCCTTTGGAAATTGAAAGCCAACACACAAATTCCAAAATGCGATATATTATACCCAGCAAACACAAATCATCTACACAACGTTCGCCTATCTCTTCCCATAGGTGTGGGAATGATTTGCATTGAGAATGGTGCAGGAGAGCCTTTGAGAAACTTTTACTCAAAAAATCCAAACACAAAGGTTTAATTATAAATTGTTTTTCTACAATTATTTTCTTCCAAATGTAAAACAAATAGTTTTTACATGTTTAAATATAAAATTTATGGTGTTTTTTTGTAAAATTCATTAATAAATTGTGAATGATATATATTGGCTGAGTGAAACCTTTAAAATCCATTTAGTTATAATATGAACAGAAAAAAGTAGTTTTCCAAATTTTCTAAAAATCGCTCTTTTTAACACAATTTGACTCCTTATGCATTCCACTAAACACTAATATCATGTTTAAATATATAATTTATGTATTATTCCCTAAGATAATTTATATAAATTATAAAAGTTGCTGGAAAGTGGTGAGAAAGAATCTGAAAACGTTTTGTTGTCTTATATTGGCGTGTTCTTATTAACTAGAGTGAGTAAGAGTGAGCGAGAGTGGGTAAGAGTGAGTAAGAGTGACTGAAGGTGAGTGAGAGTGCCAGAGAGTGTGGAAGTGTGAGTAAGAGTGAGTATAAGTAAGAGTGACTGAGAGTGAGTAAGAGTGACAGAGTGAGTAAGAGTGAGAGTAAGGGTGACAGAATGAGTAAGAGTGAGAGTAAAGTGATTGAGAGTAAGGGTGAGTATGAGAGTAAGAGTGATTGAGAGTTAGAGTGAGAGTAAGAGTGATTGAGAGTTAGTGAGAGTAAGAGTGATTGAGAGTAAGAGTGATTGAGAGTAAGAGTGAATGAGAGTAAGAGTGATTGAGAGTAAGAGTGATTGGGAGTAAGAGTGATTGAGAGTAAGAGTGATTGGGAGTAAGAGTGATTGGGAGTAGGAGTTAGAGTGAGAGTAGGAGTAA